ACAAGGAAGATTGTTAGAATGAAGAAGAGAACACAGAGTTTTGACAGCTTGGCCATGTTATTGGCTGTACAAATAAGTTTGTAAAAACCTTTAAAAATCTAAAACCTGTTTTATTTATTTTTAATTATTATTATTTTTGTTAATCCTCACCCGAGGACATTTTATTTAAAAAAAAACAAAACACCCTGCAAACTATGTGGGGATTATGGAGGATGGACAGCAGAAAGGAATTGAACTTTTATCAGAAAGTATTCCACTTTTAATTTTGGTAAGACTACAAATAGGGCAAGAAAACCATTACAGCAGTACCTACTAGTGAGTGCTTTGAATTATGTTGCTCTGGACTCTCTGACTCAGAGTTGGGGAGTGAGCTCTTGGTGTGGCTCTAAGTGTATACCTGCTATGCCCACTTAAAAATCAGTCTGGGCATGGTTTGAAGGCCTATGGAGAAAGGCAACTAGTAATTTCTTTGCATTGGGGAAAACAAGGCATGTCCTGGGGAAAAATTCACCAAACAAGGCAGCATTTCAGACACAAGGTTGGTGAAAAGGGAAGGGCAGTAGCCTTTGGCCATGTCTCCCAACCCTAACCAAACTACTGTACTTTTGTAATGCCCAAACCCTGAGATTCAGGGGCTGTAAAGAAACTAGAAGAGCTTTTTCATATAAATCTTAGTATGATATTGGGAAGACAGCTGTTGGTGATGTGATCATGGAATAGTATTGTGAAACAAAATGGTGAGTTAAGAATACTCCTCACTTCAGCATAGGACACAGTAGGGCTTAGGCATTTTGTGGACTTCCAAGAACACAGACTGTCTTGGGCATATTAAGGGTTCTAGTAGTGGTTCCAGCACTCAGGGTTTTAAAAGAGGATTAAGCAGCAGCTAACCCTCAGTCCTGTAATAGCAATAATACTAATAAATATTGCAGTTGGGGTGAGGAGATATTAAATTATGTGTTTACAATAGTTATTTATACAGTAAACCCCTGAGTTTTTTGGACCTCAATTTAATAGACTTGGGATTTACAACAAATTTCCAGTCATGTCATATGTGAAAATTAATACCCTATTAATTTTAAAGCACTTTTAACCAAGATTTGCTTATAATTAAATTAAGAGGTTATTTTTTTGTTATTCACTGTTATTTTTAACAAATTTTAGTGAATGGGCCATATGTTGGAACACTAGTAATATTGCCAACATAAATAAATATTATATATCTACAACTATAGTCTACATATTTAAATACAAGAGTCACCGCTCATAAACAATGTTTGGCAAATGATTAGTGCGTGATCACACTGTATGGCATGAGGTAATTGGTTCTGTTGTCATTGCCATAACTTTCTGCAGAAGTTTTGTTTTTTTAATATATATTTTTATTGATTTCAGAGAGGAAGGGAGAGAGAGATAGAAACATCAATGATGAGATAATCACTGATCGGCTGTCTCCTGCATGCCCTCTACTGAGGATCGAGCCTGCAACCCTGACATGTGCCGTGACCAGGAATCGAACCATGACCTCCTGGTTCATAGATCGTCGCTCAACCACTGAGTCACATCAGCTAGGCTCTGCAGCAGTTTTTTTTTTTTTTTAATATATTTTATTGATTTTTTACAGAGAGGAAGGGAGAGAGATAGAGAGTTAGAAACATCGATCAGCTGCCTCCTGCACATCTCCCACTGGGGATGTGCCCGCAACCCAGGTACATGCCCTTGACCGGAATCGAACCCGGGACCCTTCAGTCCGCAGGCCGACGCTCTATCCACTGAGCCAAACCAGTTTCAGCTCTGCAGCAGTTTTAACACATGCTGGCCATGTGAACTAAGCCATGCCCCAGCAGTGCATCTGGTGACTGCAAGCATTTCCTAGACCTATTCAGTATAAATTTAAAATTACTATAATATATGTAGAAAACTTTTCTGTAATATTAAACTTTTCATAAATACTTAATTTTAATTACACAAACATTTACATAAGTAAAAACAGGTAAACTAATTTGTAATTTTTTTAACTACACATTAGGAAAACCTATCTATACTAATAAAAGGGTAATATGCTAATTAGACTGGGAGACCTTCCAGACATCCTTCCGAACAAAGCCATGGTGGCGGGGCCGAGGCAGAGGCGGTTAGGGGCGTGCCTGAGGCTGCGGCCCAGGTGAAGCCGCCCGTCCACAGTCCCCTGCTACTAAGGCTGGCCCAGGCGAATCCAACCCGGGTCCTGGGTGCCTGCAACCGGCCGGAGGAGGGAATCCTGGGTCCCGGGTGTGGGACAAGGTAGAGGCAGTTAGGGGTGATCAGGCAGGCAGGCAGGTGAGCACTTAGGAGCCAGTGGTCCCAGATTGCGAAAGGGATGTCCAACTGCCTATGGGATCAGGCCTAAACCGGCAGTTGGACATCCCCCGAGGGGTCCCAGATTGGAGAGGGTGCAGGCCGGGCTGAGGGACACCTCTCCCGTGCATGAATTTTGTGCATCGGGCTACTAGTTATCTATAATAAAAAGCATAATATGCAAATCGACTGATTGGCCGAACAGCAGAACGACTGTCTGGACGACCTTCCAGATGACCTTCTGGATGAAGCCGCGGCTGCGAGGGCCGAGGCAGCAGCCACCACAGCTGCGAGGCCTACTCTTGCACGAATTTTGTGCATCGGGCCTCTAGTCTATATATATATATATATATATATGCCTAAGTGACTGGCTGACCGTTAGCTATGTTGCGCACTGACCACCAGGAGGCAGACCACCAAACCACAGGCATGGAAACATGGAACAGACTGATGAATCTCAGAGGGAAGGGGAAGAGGGGAAGGTGGGAAGAGATTAACCAAAGATCTTACATGCATACTAGAGGACCATGGGGTCCTTCGGCCTGGCCTGCGCCCTCTCACAATCCGGGACACTTTTGGCCCAATCCCTGCAGGCCAGGCCAAGGGACCTCACTGGTGAATGAATCTGTGCACTGGCCCTCTCGTCTATATATTTATAAAAGGGTAAGTGTCCATCCTTCCGACTGTTAGCTATGTTGTGCACTGACCACCAGGGGGCAGATGCTCAACGCAGGAGCTGCCATGACGTGCACTGGCCATTTAAAAATAAATGGCACCATGGGCCTGGCACTGACAAACCAACACTCTGCTTCACCCAAGTGGGACACAGACCCCGCCACCACCCTGGAGCAACACCCCACCAAATCGCAGCCAACACTGCCAAGATCCTATGGTGCAAAATGTGGCCCTCAGCCCAGCCCAGAAACGGTCTCTGTGGGCACTGGATAATGATGTCACATAGCATTGCCCGGCTTCCTCTCCCTAGTGCAGTGACGGCGTGTCAGAGGTGACATGCAAACTCATTTTTTTGGTTGATTTTTCTTTGTTAAATGGCATTTAAATATATAAAATAAATATCAAAAATATGTCTTTGTTTTACTATGGTTGCAAATATCAAAAAATTTCTATATGTGACACGGCACCAGAGTTAAGTTAGGGTTTTTCAAAATGCTGACACGCCGAGCTCAAAAGGTTGGCCATCACTGCCCTAGTGACTAGCTTCCTTGGAATTTCTTCAGCCCAGGAACCTGATGTGCTTTATAGCCAGGTGCAAACATTTTACAGTTTAATCAAATGCATGTGAAGTGTTTTCACATGCCTCATCTCATTTGATCCTCACAGAAGTCCTGGAAGAGGTAGATAGCAGACTTGATAGAATCCTATTTTCTTTTCATTAGCTAGAAAACGGAGATTTAGAAAGTTTAGAAACTTGACCCTACTGAAAAGAAGTAAGAAATGGTGGAGCTTGAAAATGACTTCAGGTTTTCTCACTGCTCAGAATATAGTCAAACTCTGCTACAGTTAAATATTTTACCCTTTGTTTTCCCTATGTGATCTACAATAATAATCTGCTTCGTGTTGATGTTTACTGCTGTGTTGCTGACAATTATCTGAAAGAGAAGTTGGGGTGCTTCACTGAGCTGGAAAAAGTTTAGCTAAATCAGAAATCAGGTCTAATTAAGTTTATTCTATATATATAAAAGGCTAAGTTGACTCGCGCATGCGTGATACATATAAAGCTCTCACTGGTGCCAGTCGCACGCATGTGTTTGATCTGTCATTGTTGATTATGAATTTGGTTGACACTTTTATTACAGAGAAAGGATGAATAACAATATTAAAATATTTCTTCTAATTAATTTCCTTTCAGTGTGCATGAATATGTGCACCGGGACACTAGTATTACATAATGGACTTTCAGCTTTAATGGACACCCCCTCCCCCAAATTAGTTCATTATATCGAGGTTTTACTGTACTCACAGAAGAAAAATCTGCCTCTGGCCTCTCTACTTTTGCTTCTCACCTACTAAAAGAGATTCTAGGTCTGCTAGCCCAGTTTCTGAACTTGTAAAAAGATAATGGGTAAAAAAACAGATGAAGAATTTCAAGGAGTAAGACTGGATGATTGATTTATATTAGAAAGTTGAGAATTGCTTATGAGAAGGGGATCAAGAGAGGGGAAAGAGCCAAATAAGCAGTGAATTGAGCGGAGGGGTGGATATAAAGGGTTCAGGGCAGGCATTAGGATTAACCCCTTGAGTGCCGGGGAGCGCAATTGTGCCGGGAGTGCTATCAAAGCTTCGAAATGGCGTCCAGTTCTAAGCCTGCGTTTATTAGTGATGATGATATTGCTATATATGTCAATGTAGTAAAGGTTTCTTTAAGTTTTTGAATATGTAACTTCATTTACTTGTGATTTATAATTTTTTTTCCTAAACTGCTAAAATCAGCAAAAATGCCTTGGCAATTTTAGCATAGTTCCTAGGATATTGGTTGGCACTCAAAGGGTTAAGAGAAACATTGTGAACAAAAGGAACTGGGAAAGAAGATATTAAGAAGCTGCTGTGGATTTTGAAATGGATCTTCTTTATTTTCTTTGAGAGTCTCAACATATTAAGATTTAAATTGCCTTTAACTTACTTTTTTTTTTTTTTTTTTTGAGGTTAGACTTGTTTCTTCTATGAGATGCCATTCCAGTGCTGGACTCATGGAGGCTGAACATTTATTCAGGTAATAATAGGTAGCATTTACTTTTTATGTACCAGGCAACAAACTAAATGCTATACCTGTATTCTTATTTAATCCTCACACATCTTCATGAGATTGGAAGTGTTATTGTACCCATTTAATAGATGAAGAAATTAAGACTTAGGGGCTCTATCAAGATTGAGTTTAGCTGAATTAAAACATAAAAAGGCTATTGCTGTAGTTGAAGTGAAGGACAATGGTAGCTTGGGTTAGATAACGTCATTCCTCACCTGGCTGGCATAAATATTATGAATGTAAAGTAGTTATGATTGATTGAACTTTACCTCTATTTCTATAATTTTTCCCACTAGTGAAATACATCATACTTTTTTATTGTCTTTAAAAAAATGGACGTACTTTTTGGTAAAGCAAAATTCAGCTTAGGGTTTTAACCGTAAGGCTTTTCTAACTTTTTAGAAAGTAGATAAAATGTTTTGAAATAGTTTAAATTTATTTGAACAAATATCTACAGAAAGTAAAATACCTATAACTGGGGAATTCTTAAGTGGTGATTCATGTAGATAGTAGGAGTCTTTTGTTGATTTTGTCACGCTGGAGATACTGTTTACAGATATTTTTAGCTTTGAAGAACCTTATTAGAGTTTCTTATAAGAGCTTTCTTGGTGTATCTAAATGCTTATTTACAAATCACATTAATTGTATTACTTGCCAGAACTGGGAGGGTTCTAGCACTACTGACTGAAGATCAGTCAAAAAAGAAGATTGAAATTATAATATAGATTAATGAAAGTATTTTTAGGTTTAAGAAAATTCAGATTTATCTGCTACTTTGGTCCAAGTTTAATTTTGCCAAGTGTTATCTGTACAACAAGATAGAGCAAATTGCTTTTATTACTACCTTATCAGTTATTGAGTGGCCAGCATGAGTACATTGCCCTATTTTTCCTTCTCCGTCTTTTTTTTTAAAAGCTTGATTGAACTATAATTGACATATAGTAAACTGTATATATTAAAAATGTACAATTTAAAAATTTTGACATAAGTGTTCACCCATGAAACTAAAACCAGAGTCAAGATAATGAACATATTCATCAGCCCCACAGGTTTCCTTATTCCCATTTGTAGTCGGTCCCTCAACCTCTGTGGTCTCTAGGCAACTACTGATCAACTGTCTGTTACTATAGAATAATTTCCATTGTCTAGAATTTTATATAAATGGAATTGTAAAGTGTATGCTCTCACATTTATTTATTTCTGGTTTGACTTTTTTTTCCACTAAGCATAATTATTTTGAGATTTATGTATGCTATTGCATGTGTCAGTAGTTCATTTTTATTGCTGAGTAGCAATCTGTTGTATAGCTGTAACAGTTTGTTTATCCATTCACTTGTTGATGTACATTTGGGTTGTTTTCAGCAACTACAAATAAAGCTATGCTATGAATATTTGTGTACAAATTTTTGTATGAACATATATTTTTTCCTACAAGTTAATTTTTTTGAGGTAAAATTCATATAACAATTGACAGTTTCAAAGTCTATAATTCAGTGGTACTTAATAAATTTACAATGCTGTGCAACCACTATCTCTCTAGTTTTAAAACTCTTTGATTATTTCATAAACTATTCCATATCCATTAAGTAACCACTCCCTATTTCTGCCTCCCCTTGTAACCTCAAATATGCTTTCTGTCTCTATGGATTTGCTTAGTATGGATATAAAATATAAAAGAAATAAGACAATATGTGACCTTTTGTGTCTGACTTTTTTCATTTAGCATAATGTTTTAGAGGTTCATCCAAATTGTATTGTGTATCAATACTTTTCTCCTTTCTATGGTGAATAATAGTCCATTGTGTGGTATGTTACATCTTATTTATCCATTCATCAGTTGGTGGACATCAGGATTGTTTCCACTTTTTGGGCACTATGAATGATGCTAGGTATATGCCCTTGACCGGAATTGAACTCAACACCCTTCAGTCCACAGGCCAACGCTCTATCCACTGAGCCAAACCAGATAGGGCTCAGCATTTATTTTCATTGTGAAATAAATATACCTTTCATTGTGAAATAAGTCTAATTTACAGGAAGTTGCAAGAAAAATGTACAGCATTGTTCCATGTGCCTCCACCCAGCTTCTCCCAGTAGAACAGCCTGTACAACTATAGTACCATATCAAAACCAGGAAATTGTTATTGGTACAATCTACTAGTTTTTAAGATTCGACCAGTTTTACATGTACTTCTGTATGTGTTTGTAGTTCTATGGAATTTCATCATGTGTGAATTTGTGTATCCACAACCATCATCAAGATATAGTACTGCCAGAACCAGTTTGGCTCAGTGGATAGAGCGTCGGCCAGCGGACTCAAGGGTCCCATGTTCGATTCCGATCAAGGGCATGTACCTTGGTTGCGAGCACATCCCCATGGGGGGCGTGCAGGAGGCAGCTGATCGATGTTTCTGGCTCTCTATCCCTCTCCCTTCCTCTCTGTAAAAAATCAATAAAATATATTTTAAAAAAAAGATATAGTACAGTTCTGGTTGCTCTTTAATAATCACACCTTCCTCCACCCTTTTATAAACCTGTAACCCTGGCAACCATTAATTTGTTCTTCATTTCTATAATATTGTCATTTCAAAATATTACTTAAATGGAATCATATAGTATGCTACCTTTTTTTTTTTTTTAATCCTCACTTGAGGATATTTTTTCCATTGATTTTTAGAGACCAGGGCTGGGAGCCTGCAACCAAGGTACCTGCCCTTGACTGGAATCGAACCCAACACCCTTCAGTCTGCAGGCTGATGTTCTATCCACTGAGCCAAATCGACTAGGGCTAGTATGTAACCCTTTGAAATTGACATTTTTTTCTCACTCAGCATAATTTCTTTGCGATTCATCCAAGTTATTGCATGTATTAGTAGTTTGTACCATTTTATTGCTGAGTAATATTCCGTGGTATGGCTGCCCCAAGTTTGATTAAGCATTCACCTGTTGAAGGACTTCTATGTTGATTCCAGTCTTTGGCTATTATGAATAAAGCTACTATGAACATTCCTATTCAGGTTTTTTGTAAACATACATTTTTATTTGTCTGGGATAAATGACCAATTGCTGGGTATTATGATAATTGCATGTTTCATTTCGTAAGAAACCGCCAAACTGTCTTCTAGAGTGGCTATACCATTATACATTCCCACCAGCTATACACATATATATGAGTGATCCAGTTTTTCTGCATCCTTGCCAGTATTTAGTATTGTCAGTATGTTTTATTTTAGCCATTATGATAGATATGTAGTGAGAAGTTATTGTGATTTTAATTGCATTTCACTAATGGCTAATGATTTTGAACATGTCAATTCATGTCTTTTGCTAATTTCCTAATTAGATTGTTTCTTTACTGTTGAGTTTTGAGAGTTCTGTGGGGTTTTTTTTTTGTGTGTGTGTGTTTTTAGTTATTTGTTCCAGGAAGGTAAATATGATCCCTGTTACTCCATATTAGTCAGAAATAGTCTCCCTCTCCCAAAGTTTTCAGTAATATTAAGAACATCCGTTGTGCCATAACCGGTTTGGCTCAGTGAATAGAGCATCGGCCTGCGGACTGAAGGGTCCCAGCTTCGATTCCGGTCAAGGGCATGTACCTTGGTTGTGGACACATCCCCAGTAGGGAGTGTGCAGGATGCAGCTGATCGATGTTTCTATCTCATCGATGTTTCTAACTCTCTATCCCTCTCCTCTCTGTAAAAAAAAATCAATAAAATATATTTTTTAAAAAAAGAACATCCGTTGTTATTAACTTCTGTCTAATAATTCCTTCCCATCTCAAGTCCTTAAAAGAAGGGGGTGGGCATGGAGGCTAAATATAACAGACAAAAAGATACTTCTGATGTTGTTCAGTGTCTGTGAAGCCCCGCAGTTTGCAAATCAATCAGATACAGGCTTAGAACTAGAAATAGGTCAGTTACCGTAGCACAAAATGATGGTGTAAAAAGATTTTAGTGACAGCTTGTGTGTGTTAATATACCTTTTCTTGTTCATAGTTCTCTTTGGATATAATGGTAGGTTCTAGGTGTTTTCAATATGCCTTTTCTCTACTTTTTATAGTCCTTTTCTTGAAAGAATGATAATATTTATAAAATCATATTTAAATTTGTACAGTTGACCAGTTAAAGCAGTCTGTCCAGCCTCAGTACACTAGCTAGGTAATTCTCCTTTCACCTTTATTATTAGTTTTGGAGCTTATGTCAGAGTTTATGATGATTTACTGGTATTATATAGATTAGGATTTCTTCAAGATTTTATCTCTGCATTTCAAATTTGCACTTATCTGTGTAAAAACTCAGAGAGATACAACATTGTTATAGGACCATGTAGCTATCAAACACTTGAAGAAAACATTTCTTTGTAGTTATTTGGTAGAATTAGGACACATTTCAGTAATTAGGTGACTTTGAACTCTGAGATTTGCTAAAGCCATCTTTGGAATACAGAGCTGCCTCTGCTTGTGTCAGTCTTATCAGGAAAGTTTTGTTTCTATTCCCAGTTTGTTGTTTTTGCTCATGATCCACAGGCATAGCTTGGTATGTTGGTGTGCTGTTTTTCCCAGTGGCTATTGAGATGCCTTGCACAGAGTGGTTACTCGGTATTTGTAGGATGAATGAATGCCTCTCCATTGAGTTACTGCTTCAGTCTTTGTATATTTCATCCAAGATCCATCCTTCCTTCCTTCCTTCCTTCCTTCCTTCCTTCCTTCCTTCCTTCCTTCCTTCCTTCCTTCCTCC